CCGCCATCTGTAGCGGAAGGTAGATCCTATCATGTACTCTTCTTTGCAAAATGCAGGCTCGCCTGGTTCATGTCGCCGCTCAGCCTTTCCCACCCCCTGGGCACCCCTTCCGCGGGAGGCGGGGGATACCAGCGCGTGGGGTGAGGGGGCGGAGGTTTTGCTGGATCCATCGTGCAGTGTCTTGCATGCTGCCACATGAAGTGTTTGTAATCAGACTTCCACAATTACGCGAGCTCCCTGTGCGATGGCCTCGACCCCATGTTCCTTTTCGCGGGCTGGCTGTCCTCCGAGTTCGCCGTGGAATTTTACTTCGAAGATGCTGTGATTGGGTTGGCCTACTGGTGGGTTATACAATACCTATCCCAGGCCGCTTCGGCTACAGGCTGCCTGGAGGCGGTAGGGGTAATGGATACAAGCGTGCCCATAGCCCCTGCCCACACCAACCACTATTCAGTTACTGGTGTGATCCAGACGAGCTCTTCTTTGTGTGTACTGGATTGGTGTTAACTAATAGTATGTGATCAAGCTGTTCTACGGGATAATGTTGACCTTTTTTGTCTGCAATCCAAGCCACAACGGACGTGTGCCAATGTGGATTCATGGACCATGTGTGGAGACAGGCGACTTCACGGAAAACGAAATAGGCACCACCATGAATACGTGGCGCCGCCGCCAGTACCTTCGTGGTCGCAGCTGTGGGACACAACGCGTTCGGGCTAGAATTGACCGCGGACCAATCAAACTGCGCACCTGCACGGGCGTCCGCGGAGGGAGGCAATTGGGGGGAAAGCCGCCCAGATCATGCGCCGCCACCACTGCGGGAAGGAGAAGCAGTGCCATCCTGGGAAGGCTTGGCGCCGTCAGGGGCCGAGGGAGCAGCCCGCGCGCGAGGCAAGAAAGGACACTAGGACGCGGAGGGTGCACCGTGAACACAAGAAAAAAAGCAAGAAGAGGACGAGGGGCATGCCAAAGCATCGGCCTCTGAAGCTGGGCACTTTGAAGCAGGTGGGCGGCCGCAGATGGCAGAATCACCAGCCTCATGATACGCATCCCTGAGAAGGGGCCCAGGGACACACCAAAAAGTCATAAAAAGTATGCAAATCCCATGATTCCCTATACTTCATATTTTCTCAGTTTTCGTCTGCCCGAAATTCCCATATTTCCTCATATGTCCCAGGGAATCGACGATGATTTGCGTCTGTGTTCTTTCCCTTCTGACCCTACAACCTACCAGCAAAACCCTTCAGCAAACGCACCTGAGGAGGCACCCGAACAGGGCAGGCCTGTTCAGAAGATGCCCAAGACTGCTTCGTGACGCCAGTGATCAATGGGGGTCGCGGTAATTTGTCTAGATCAATCCTCCGTCGGGGCCAAGGGCCAGGCCATACTCTAGGCGAGGAAGCACGCGCTGGCGGGTTGCCCCTGCCCGCCAGCGCCGGTGCCACTGGTGCAGGTGCTGGGGCTTCGGGACACGGCCTGCAATATTGCCCGAAGGCGATGACACCTCCACGTCGGGCGAAACGTGGGCCGGCGGGCTGGAAGGAGTGCGGGACATCGCGATGACGAAGCGGACCTCGTGCGTCAACCTCGTCTGCAAGTCATCGCATCAGCTCTTCGCGGGCCCGGGGGGGCTGGAGCAGAAACTACATCTCGAAGAACAAGATCGCCAACACGATACTGATGACTATGAGGAGCCATCTAGTCCAACGTGTTTCCTGAAGTCTATGGTCCCCAGTGGCGACGAGAGTAACCCTATGTCTGACGGAAGCTTGGGAAACTCTGATGGGGGAGGTTCACATTGCTTCGAGCGTCCAAAGATCGTCGCTGTCGTGGTATTCAAGAGGTGGCACTGCGCGGCTCCTTTGAGAGACGCCGGTGGATGAGCCCGAGGACCGGTGCAACGCCAACGGGGCCACAAACTTGGAGAAGCCTGTGGCACCCCGACGCTGCAGCCCAGCAAGCGCCTATCAGCATCGAGCACCCACGCGGGCTGTGCAAAGGGAGGACAACCTTCCCAAACACGTGCGTGCGACAGGCCCTCGGGAAAAAAATAGCGAACACGCATGCCACATTCCTCGGTCGACGCCTCCCCCTCCCCCTGACGTTTCAAGTTGGCGGTGGGCCCGATGAGTTGCACTTCGACCGCAGTCTCCTCCGCGCGTGCCAACTTTGAGCTTGGGGGAGAGGGGGGGCCCACTCACTGGTTCCCTCTGCACCGGATCTTCCTGGGCGACACCTCAGCAGAGGCGGACCACGCGCACCCTCTTGACCGAGCGGGCCGCTTCTGGGCTCCGCCTCCGCCCCCATTCCGTGTCCGTCTCTCTGCCCGTCTGCCCGCCTACAGCCGAGAATGGGATCGAGAAGCTTGTCGCTTGGGAAGCCTGGGCCGAACAGGAAGCTCATCAAGAAGCTTATCAAGAGGCTCACCAAGAAGCTTATCAATAAGCCGAGAATGGGATCAAGAAGCTCATCAAGAAGCTTGTCACTTAAGAACACTATTGAGACAAGCACGGGCCAACTGCTTCTGTGAACGCTGGGGAGGACAGCGTGCGCCACAAACTGGGCCAGCTCTCCGGCAAGCTGGCTTGGCAACGCTGGCCAGGCTTTTCCAGCGGAGGCTTCCCGATCAGATGCTCGACTTTGTCCTCGCGACTGTCTGCCCGCGCATCCTCCACCCCTTCCTCCCCACCTGCTTCTGCCCCTCCTCCGTCGTGCACCTGCTGACCAGGGTCGATCCAGACCCGGGCCAGCCAGGATCCTGCAGGATCCTGCAGGATCCTGCACCGCCTGGGCCACTGCGCCCCTGACTCTGCAGGATCCTGCAAAGGTCCAGCGCTCCGACTGACCCCCGCTTGCATGGACCCCCGCCCCGTGAGCCCCAACTTCTCTCTCTCCACTTCCCTCGCGCTGCTCTGTTCTGCTCCGGTGATATGAAGACTCCGTCAGATGGGGACAACCACTGAGAAGCACCAACATCTCACAGAGTTTCGGGTGACATGCCCAGCGATTTTGCCGGCGCAGCGGCCCCGACCGCGCAACTCCCCCCTCTCCCCCTCGGCTCCCTCTCCGCGGCCGAGCCCCAGCACAGAGTCCGAGGCCCTCCGAACCCTTCTCGGGACCCCTCTGGAAAGCCACGAGGAGGAGGAGAAGGAGGAGGAGGAGGAGGAGGAGCTGTCTGGAGGGCGCTAGGCTCCAGAGCGCAGGCACGAAGACAGGCCCTCGGCACGAAGACGCTGTAGAGCGCGAGCACGGAGGGCACCAGGAAGACAGCTTCCACATCACCCGCCTTCCTCATCCTCCTCATTCTTCCCTCGTCCTCCTCCTCCTCCTCCTCCTCCTCCTCCTCCTCCTCCTCCTCTTCCTCCTTGTCTTCTCCCTCCCCCTCCTCATCTTGTCCTCTCCATCCTCCTCCCCTTCCCCTCCTCCTCCTCCTCCTCCTCCTCCTCCTCCTTCTCTCCTCCTCACCTCTCCTCCTCTCCCTCTATCCTCCTCCTCCTCATCATCATCATCATCATCAGCATCATCATCATCATCATCATCATCATCATCATCATCATCATCATCATCACATCATCATCATCATCATCATCATCATCATCATCATCATCATCATCATCATCATCATCATCATCATCGTTGTCGTCATCATCATCATCATCAGCAGCAGCAGCATCAGCATCATCATCATAATCAGCATCGTCATGTTCTTCATCATCATCATCAACATCAGCATCATCATCATCATCATCATCAGCAGCAGCAGCAGCATCATCATCATCATCATCATCATCATCATCATCATCATCATCATCATCATCATCATCATCATCATCATCATCATCATCCACCTCCTCCTCCTCATCCTTCTCCTCCTCTTCCTCCCTGTCGACTCCCTCCTCCTCATCATCTTGTCCTCTCCCTCCTCCTGTCGTCCAATTAGGCAGATCCCTCAATGGAAATGAACCGTTATAGGGGCCTATGAAGAGGGAGCTTCGAGGGAGGGTGTATTCCAACATCGTTGCTAGTTCTTGGGTTTACACTGGTTCTCCTCCTCGTCCTCCTCGTCCTCGTCCTCCTCCTCCTCCTCTTCCTCCTCCGCCTCCTCCTCCTCCGCCTCCTCTGCCTCCTCCGCCTCCTCCTCCTCCTCGTCCTCCTCCTCCTCCTCCTCCTCCTCCTCCTCCGTCTCCGCCTTCGCCTCCGCATCCCCCTCCTCTTCCCAGAGCTTGCATCACAGGACCCCTCCAAGAGCCCCGCACTCGCCAGAGTCCCTTGGGAGAGGTCTCGTGGACTCGCAAACCTGCCGCGCCACGCTTCCGAGGTTTTCTGTCGAGGGGAGGGGGGAGGAGGGAAGGGGGAGGGGGCGGGGGACGAGGGGACAGGAAGATAACGGGGAAGTTGCGCGCGGCTTAAAGACAATTCTGCTAGATTCGCGGCGCCCGCTGATGCCTAAGCCACCCGAGGTCGCATCGGGATCGTTGCCGCTGCTGAGACACGCGCGTGAGTTTCCCGTCCAGCGGCGGCAGCCTCAGACGTGCGGCAAGGATGGAAGGCCCTTGGACGCTCCAACTGAAGCCGAAACTGGAAGCCCATGGCCCATGCTTCAGGGCACGGAAGGGGCCGAGAGGCAGGGATGCAAGGGTACCCTTGAAGGCCGCTCGCCCTTACGATGCGGTGTGACGGCGCTTCCCTGAGATCCGACGCTGCAAAAACAAATGCAGCATCGCCAAAAATCACGCTCGGACCCCCGGACCCCTATCTTTCTGCATCATTTTCCGAGCCGATCGATCTGAGGGCCCCGGGGCCCGAAATCGAGCGAACACGTCTGCTGTGGAAACACAAAAGATGCAGCGCCAGGATCTCGGGGCTGGGCACCCGCAAGGCGTCCGTCGAAACGCTCCAGGCGGGAGCACCCGTGCGGACAGGGGCGGCGGCAGAGCGGGCAGAGCGGGCAGGCGCTGCGCACGCCGGCGGCTGCGGCGGGGGGGGGGGCGGCCCCGGGCCTCGGCAGCCGAGGCCCCGAAGCACCAGCTCGAGGCATGCCGGAGCCGGGGCAGCATGGTGCACCTAACCTCGCGGCAGCGAGCACGTCCAAGCCATCTGCCTCGGTTGGAGAGCGTCTCGTTATTTTCGGCGACGGCGGGCGTCATGAAAGGGGGGGGGCGGGGGGAGGGTATGACGAAACGCCCCGCCCCGCCGTGTGACTCCGGGCACCACAGCCGCGCGCCCGCGCGCACGACGACGATGAGCGACGAGCGACGAGCACGACGACGACGACGACGACGACGACGACGACGACGACGACGACGACGACGACGACGACACGACGCGTTCAATGAACGTCTCCGCAGAATGCAGCTATCTGCGGCGAGCCCCAGGGGTGGAAGCGAGGCGGGGCGGGTCTTCTCGGGAGGCTCGGGAAATCCCACCCAGCCTTCTGAGAAGTCTTCGAAGCCTTCCACAAAAACACGGAAGACACAGAAGCCCTCTCAGAAGGCCGGAGGCCTTCTGAGAAGCCACGCCGCCTCCCGAGAAGGCCTTCTCCTGCTCGCATCCCCCCTTCGCTCGCGGCCGATACTAGTCGAAACATGGCCATGAGAACGTAGGTCAAGAACATGAGTCCCTTCGCCGCACTCCAAAGCTAGGGTGGGTTTAACCATCGTGCTGGCTGTACTGGAGTGAGGATTCGGTGTCAGCCACTTGGGAGCCCGCTGAGGGCGCAGACTTATCCGTATGCACACGTGTGAACTTACACAAGACGACTGAATATGCTCGGACATACAACTCTCACCCAATTCATGATCCATACAGGAAACTGCCTCTGGACGACCGCACGTACGGGTTATACTTCTCCCCTTCCTTCTCTCTCTCTCTCACTCTCACTCTCTCTCTCTCTCTCTCCTTATCTCTCTCGGTGTTTGTCTATGTTTGTTTTCTTTGTTCGTTCCCTCTCTCTCTCTCTGTCTCTCTCCCTCTCTGGGGCCAGAACGGCCCCGGCCGCCCCAAGATAGCCAAGGCCCACGACAAGCCTCAGACGCGCCAGGAGCGAGAGCCCCTAGACCCTCCCAAGTCCGCTCCCGCGCACGCTTCAGGCGCCCGAGGGGCCGCCTACATCGGCCCAGAGCAGCAGACCAGCCACGCCCGACTCCCCTGGAGGAGCGAGGAGGAGGATGAGGAGGAGGAGGAGGAGGAAGAGGAAGAGGGAGAAGAAGGAGGAGGAGGAGGAGGAGGAGGAGGAGGAGAGGAGGAGGAGGAGGAGGAGGAGAGGAGGAGGAGGAGGAGGGGAGGAGGAGAGGAGGAGGAGGAGCAGGAGGAGAAGGAGGAAAAAGGAGGAGGAGGAGGAGGAGGAGGAGGAGGAGGAGGGAGGAGGAGGGAGGAGGAGGAGGAGGAGGCAGCGCAGTGCGGGTCGGCCCCCGCAGGCCAACAGAGCTACCCAACGCCCCGCAGGGTCAGCCCCCTGCAGGGCTCTCTTCTGCGAGCGGCCGTTGAAGACGGGCCCTCTGGACGGCCATAGGGCGACCCGAGAAAACCAGAAATACCACCCAGGCTGCCCCTCCTCCTCCTCCTCCTCCTCCTCCTCCTCCCTCCTCCCTCCTCCTCCTCCCTCCTCCTCCTCCTCCTCCTCCTCTGCCTCCTCCTTCTCCAGATCATGAGTGCGAATGCGAGGGACCCCACGGACCAGCAGGCGCTTCGGGTCTGCACGGGCGCCGGCGGCCGGAGCAGCCACTGGGAGCTCCAGAAGTGGATCAAGTGGGCCAGGTCGGCGATGGCCTGCCGCAAGCTAGTGGAACCCGAGAGGCCCTTTCATCCATACGTTGTTGCAGGGCTCGGCGCTGGAGAATACGAGGAATACGCGGAAGGAGGCGGCGATCCCAAGCTCCGGGACCTTTTGCTCAAACGGTGGCCGGCCAAGGAGCAGGAGGACGCCCTAGGTGAGCACTTGGAGGCGGTGTTCGGGCTGCACGCGCTTCAAGGTGAAGCAGTGACCGCGTGGCTCGGACGAGCCAAGGAGGTCTTCCAGAAGTGCTCGGCCAAGGCGAACGTCACGTTCCCGACGGAGGCTCAGGCGTGGGTGTTGCTGCACCGGTGCGGTGTCACTCCTGACCAGCGGGCTATACAGTTGAAAGAATCAAGTTTGCACCACATGGGCGGCACGACAACTGATGGTACGATCCCCCCGCCCCCGACCTTCACATTGAGAGCGGACGCGCACGCTGAAATGGGATGTATCTTTATTTTTTCGAAGGGCCCCGGGAGATGTCACAACTATCGATATTGAAGTCGGGGGCGCGGGGGAGCAGCAGTGCCATCCGATACGCAGCTCAGCCCGCAATGGTGCACACACTTTTCTTCCAGCAGGCAGTGAAGGCGAAGGCGCCCAAACAGGCGGCAGATGAGGTGGAGACGGCCCTCCGCGCAGCACTCCCGGCGCTCCACTGCTCCCGACGCGGGCGGCGCGCCGAGGCAGGCGCGCGCTCGTGGCCGAGAAGGCAGATGACGACGAGGAGGATTGGACTCAGGTCGGGCATCTCCCCCTACAGGCGGATTTTGGACGAAAGAAAAACCAAAAAAACGCCCACAACTACTCCAAGATGGTCAAAAGAATACTCCGAGCAATCGTCCCCAGACTACCCTTCTAAAACAACTAAGTTTGATTAGTCCTCCGTGGGGCGGGCCCGACTTCCGAGTGGACCCGTCGGACCTTCCGCTTCTCCGTGCCCTCCGCGGGCCTCCCCCGGGGGGCTTCTCGTCGCCGCGGCTCGAGGTCCGCCTCGGAAAGGCCGGCGGGCGGGCCCTCGGCGTCTCCGTCGCTGCCTTCCGGGGGGGGGGCCTCCGGGAGGCTGCTCGTCGCCACGGCTCCCGCCGCCTCGGACAGCGCCCCGGACACCGACGAGGATCAAGTCGGGCACGTCCCGCTGCGGGAGGAAGATTCAAAGATGGTCCAAAAATATCGTCGGGGGATGATGTTGGGGGGTATTTCTGCGAATTTCCTGAATAGATGGTTTGACGAATCTTGATTTGTCACCCAAAGTCCCCCTGTAGGGTTGTGGATGCCACGACCATGGACACCCTAACAGCCCTATCCTTGAACTTAAAATGAGTGTATAGTGTAGGAAAATGTTCTAAACATGTTTTAAACATGTGTTCTACACGTTTAAAACATGTTTGAAACATGCCCTAGACATCTGGAAATTATTTGGCAGCACGCTTCCTCTCCATTAAGCGACTTCCACAACTGTAGGGGACGGGCCCGACCTCAGAAGAGGAGGATCGGACCCGAGGGTCTGACGGGCTGCTGCCCACGAGCTGGCCGGCTGCCTAAGGGATGGCTGCACGGACGTCGACGCGCTGCCCGCATGGACGCGCGGAGGGCACCGACGAGGCAGTCGACGGGACGTTCGAGGAGGCCGAGGTCTTCAAGGTCTTTCACTCGTGGGCAGAAGAAGCGTGGCTCTGACGTCCACGATCCCGATACCTGCAGCCTCTGTAGCTGCAGGTTTGCAAGAAAGATCGACTCTTCGAGAACGCATGCGATGGAGTCCAGAACCAGGGGCTGACCACACTTTGCCTAAGCAGCGGAGCTATAGGCCCACTTGCGACCCAATAGGCGACACAATATATCAAACCCGCGACGATGTCGCGGCCTGCTGAGAGCTGGCGGCGACCTGGAAAGAGAGGCGAAAGAAGCTCAACGAAGCTCAGAAGTCTAGGAACTCCCTGAGTACCGACGAGTTGCAGCTCGCCTTCCGCCGCGAGCTCGACGAGGCCAGGAAGCAGACGAGGTGCCATGCGTGCAAGGAGATAGCGCACTGGCCGAGGGAGTGCCCGAAGAAGAAGGGCAAGGGCGGTGGCAAGTTCAGGCCACGAACAATCGGTGCAGGCGCAGACTTCGTGGTGTTGGAAGGACCGAGCGCTCACGAGGCGAGCCTGGCCACGATCCTTCGACAGCTTCGAGACCGACGTGAGGCCATGTGCGCCCAGGACGCCGACGAGAAGAAGTTAGAGCCACAGCCGTTCGAGGTCATGTTCGCCTGCCCAGCCGGCAAGGGCGTTGTGGACCCCGGCTGCGGGCGCACCCTCATCGGCGAGGACTCGTTGGCGAAGCTCGAGAAGATCATCAACGCGCAGGACGCAAAGCTGACGTACTACGATGGGTGCAGGATCTTCAGGTTCGGCAACAGCGGCCGTGAGGAGACCAGGAAGGCCGTCAGGATCCCGTATGTCATCGGCGGAGATCGGGGCCACATCACGGCGGCGATAGAGAAGGGGGACGTGCCGCTGCTCTTGAACAAGCCGCTGCTGAAAGCCTTGCAGGGCGAGATGGACTTCACGAACAACCGCATCACGTTTTAACGCCCCGGGCAAGACCGTCACCCTGGCGGAGCCCGAGTCGGGGCACTGCGTCGTGGTGGACCTCCCGGACCACGAGAAGGCTGCCTACCACATCGACCAACTGACGCTGCCGGACGAGAGCCCTGCGACCGAGGAGCAGCCGCGGGCCGACGACGAGCCCTCGTGGGCACCGACCCAGCGGGGGATGACGACCAGGCTCCCGGGGATTCAGTCCTCAAGCGCAGCTCCAGGCGTCTCCTTCGGGACCATGTTCAGGAGATCCCAGGAGCTTTTCTCTCTACCCAGGGTCGTGGAACATGCCGGGGAAACCAACTGGGGCTCGGGGAAAAGCTACGATGTACTAACGGGACACGACTTGGGAAACCGGCAGGTCCAACATCAGGTCTCCAACGAGCTTAAACGATTCCAAACATGTGTGCTGACTGCCTGTCCTCTGTGTACATGGTTTGGAGGTTTTACGACGGTAAATGCAAACAACATCAGTGTGACCGAGAATTGCACGCACATGCATAGGGTACAGCATACAAGAGGTGCACGCAGAGCTCGACCGAGGCGACGATGCGATGTTCGAACAGCCGAACTGGTCGATCGCTTGGAAGATGCCTGAGATGAAACGATTCATGGAACGCACGACGGAAGTACACAAGGATATGTGCGCACATGGGTTACGAGTACCGGGTGGACCACGGTCAATGCAGAAACGTACGCGTGTGCCAGTATCCTCACCACGACTCGCTCAGTGTATTGGTAAGCTATGCCCCAGTAACCACGAACATGTTACGATCGAAGGGGAATCCAACGGTGTGTCTCGGGCTAAGTGGGCTGGCGACTACACCAAAGGTTTCTGCGAAGCGATCCTACGAGGCACTGACGACCTTACACAGTTCCGGGCTGCGTGCCTCTCAGTTTTCAGGAAGACGACCTGACTGTTGATGTTATCGTTGCTCACCTTTCGTTGCGAACGTTCGTCCTTGCCATGTCTGTCCTAATCTTAGGTACAGTGAATATTCCATACCCCGTATTCTCTCACCCTGGTTGAACTTACACGTCGTGCTGCCCGCACCCCGTACGACAATGTCTTTCCCGTCGCAGCTTGTCCTTACGGGCATTACCTGTCCAATTGCCCTGTGGACTGCCTCCCGCAACTTGCACAATGACGGTACCAGTACCGAGGCCAAGCGAAGCAAGCTGCCAAGTCTCATGTGCACTCGTTCACGGATTGATCAAACATCTGAACTGCCCCGTGCTCGGAGCTCTGGTTCTGAGAAGCGACCTGCCACTTGAAAAGCAAACCATGCCCTCTCCTAGTCATAGAAGCCCCCAGACGATAGCCGTTCCAGCAGTGCTTATTGCTACGTGGTCTCCCCTGACCAGTGCAGCAGTGTGCAAATCACAATCAGCAATTCCGCCCAGACGACTGCTGCTGCGGATCCGCAGAAAAATGTGATGCCCCTCCACAACCATCACCACCTCATATCCTTACTTTGTGCTTTCCCTCGGCGACCTGTGTTGCGCATGGAGGGGATCCTGTCTGGCGACCCACGCGGAAGCTAAGCAGCAAGCCGGTCTGGGAGTTGCAAATTAAGGTGTTGTCCTCCAGATGGTAGCCCTCCTCAGCACCGCCACAGCACTCTCTGACAATGCATCCCCAGGGAACACAGCCGGCCCGTATCATAAGGATGCACGATAAGCATGCAAGGGCCTTGGGCGCCCATGTCGAAGCTTCTCGAGCAGGGCGCGGCCAACGGAAGCGGCGAAGGATGGACCGAGGAGACAAGGATGCAAGGGTACCCATCGGTCGGAAGAAGTAGGTAGAAACATGAAGTAGGAAGGCGTTGAAGGTGTTGAAAGTAAAGTGAGTTCCGTCCGCCCCCTTGGGACGACGAAAAAGGTGAAGCCACTCGATCATTGATAAAGGAAGGCGCTTAAAGTAGATTGGAAAATGAGAATCCAAAAATACTTACTTTTAACGACCAATCAGTACCCTTGGGAAGTTTGCGCATCCTTACTGTGCGGGTTGACTGTATCCATGACTGTATGCTGATCGTCCCTCTGCCGTTCTCGTCCTCCACCTGCTGCTCCTCTCCCTCCTCCACCTCATCCGACTTGTTCTCCCCTCCTTCCCTCGTCTGCCCCAAGACATCGAGTTACATGTGCACGCGTGTCTCCCTTTCAACATGTTCATCCTCCTCGTTTTCCTCAAGCTCCCTGCCTCCTTCCCTGCCTCCCTCCCGCCCTCCCTCGATCCATCCATCCGTCCTCCATCCTCCAGCCATCCTCCATCCTCCATCCCACCTCCTCGTCCTCCTTCTCCGATTACTACTCCTACTCCTCGATACTCCATGTTCGATGCTGCGCGCGGGTCTGTCGAAGAGACTGGCGCCCTCTCCTCCTCCATGCTCCTCCTTCTCCTCCTCCTCCTCATCCTCATCATCATCCTCACGCTCATCCTCATCCTCATCCTCACCATGATATCATCATTGCTAGTATTGGTCGTATTGCTTTTCTCCTTCGCATAACAAATATTATCCTCATTATTATGATAGTCATATTCATGCTGCGATTATGAATCTGATTATTACATGATTCGTCTTATTCTTATTATTAGTATTATTGCTAGTCTTAAGAGTGTCATTATCCTAAGTATTCGTCTTCTTATTATTAGTATGCATATTATATTTCGTAATACGATTATCATTCGTATGATTATTAATATTAATAGTATGAATCGCATTCGTCTTCAAATTGCGCTTAATTTCATTATCATTCGAATTAGTATTATGCTTCCTCCTCCTCCAACTCCTGCTCCTCCTCCTTCTCCTCCTACTCATCATCCTCCCTCCACCCACGCATCCTCAGCAGCAGTACCATCACCATCACCATCACCATCACGGTCGAGAACCTCATCAGCATAATCGTCGTCATCACCGTCATCATCATCATCATCATCAGCATCATCATCATCCTCATCATCATGACCAACACCATCATAATCTGCATCATCATATTCATCATCATCATCACCATCTTCTTCATCATCACAACAATCATCATCATAATCCCGACCATCCTCAGAAACATCATCAGCATCAGCATCGTCCTCATCATCATCAGCATCAGCATGCTCGTCAGCATCAACAACATCAGCATCATCATCAGCATCATCATAATCAGGATCATCACCATGAGCAGCATCATCATTAGCATCACCATCAGCATCATCAGCAGCATCAGTATCAGCATCATCAGCAGCAACATCATCAGCAGCATCATCATCTTCATCGGCAGCATCCGCATCATCATCATCAGCATCATCATCATCAGCATCAGCACCATTATCAGGAGCATCGTCAGCAGCAGCATCATCATCACCATCCTCCTCATCATCAGCATCCTCACCACCACCCGCCATCACCATCATCAGCATCATGAGTATCATCAGCAGCAGCAGCATCATCATCGGTATCATGGTCCGCCTCATCATTGTCCTTCTCATAATCAACATCATCAGCACCGTCATCATCATCAGCAGCAGCCGTATCGTCATCATCAGCAGCATCACCATCATCATCAGCAGCATCATCGTCAGCATCCTCACCATGGTCGTCATCATCATCATCGTCATCATCGTAATCCCCATCAGCAACAGCATCCTCATCAGCATGATCAGCAGCATCAGTATCAGCAGCATCAGCAGCATCACCGCCATCCAAAGTACCAACAGTATCAGCATCATCACCATTAGCCTCACCATTATCATCATCAGCAGCATCAGCATCAGCAGCAACATCAGCATCAGCATCAGTAGCATCATCATCATCATCATCATCATCATCATCATCATCATCATCATCATCATCATCATCATCATCATCATCATCAGCAGCAGCAGCAGCAGCAGCAGCAGCATCCTTATCCTCGTCCTCATCTTCATCAACACCTCGTCCTCCAACCGTCCGTTCCTCTCTTCCTCCCGCTCTCACTCCCTCCCCCCCAACCCTCCCTTCGCCCCTCGCTCGCTGCCCTCCTCCTGCCCTTTCCCCCCCCCCCCGGTAGCTCCGTGCTCCATCGCTCAGGGCTCGATCCTCCGCTCTCCCCCCCCACCTGAGGTGCCGGAGGGGGCGCGCCACGCGCGCCTGGCACACCACGCCGCACCTGCCCCCGGGCTGCTGGCCCCCGAAGTCCTGTGGGGGAGGGAGGGAACGGAGAAGTGGCAAGGACGGGGGGCGAAGGGCAGGGGGAGGAGGAGGAGGAGGACCCAGGACAGAAGGCAGGGGCAGGAGCGTCGGAGATCGATCCCGCGGGAGGGAGAAGTCGAGAACCGCCTCGCCTTCCGGGGCTCCTCTGGGGAGCCTCACGGCTCGAGAGAAGGGAAGGGGGAGAGAGGGAGGCGGACGGAGGCGGAGGGGAGGGTGGGGAGGCGGGGGGGGCGGAGGCGGAGGGGAGGAAAGGGGAGGGGGGGGAGGAGGAAGAGGGTCAGGGGTCGGCTGCACCCGCGACTTGCTGCGCCGCGCTGCAGGAGCTCCGCACGGCAGGAGCCAGGCAAGAGCCCGCCTCTCCGTGGCGCTCCGCGCCCTCGGGCGGGGCTACACGGAGCAGCCAGGCTGGGCAAGGGGAGGAGGGGCTTCGGCGGGGGCTCTCATAGGCTCCAGCTTTCTCAACAGCGGGTCTTCATGGTTCAGGGGGTCTCTGTTTTCTGGCACATCCCTGGGTATGCGAATGGGCTGCTCCTCGAAGAATACATGTGTGGGTTCTGGGGGCTCGAGTGCAAGGGGGAGGGAACGAAGAAGGGGGAGGAGGAGAATGAGGAGGAAAAGGAGAAGGAGGAGGAGGAGGAGGAGGAGAGAAGAGAAGAAAATGAAGGAGTGGGGGAGGACGGAGGAAACGGAAGGAATGGTGGGGGATGAAGGAGGAGGAGGAGGAGGAGGAGGAGGAGGAGGGGGAGGAGGAGGAGGAGGCGGGAGGCGGGAGGCGGGAGGAAGGAGGAGTAGGAGGAGGAGGATGAGGAGGAGGAAGGGGGGAGATTTCTCCAATTCAACTCATGTGACACCTTCAGACTTCGCACGCAGCGTGGAGAATCGGGCTCATGCCTCTTTTCTCCAGGCAGCTGCTCCCAGATCGCCTGGAGACTTTCGTTGTCATGGGCGTCCCTCGTCGTCGTCCATTCACGACTACGAGCAAGGTCGTGCTGCGGACAAGTATCGCCCAAGACAACCTCGCCAGCTTCTATGCTCACGCCGTGCCAGCTTCGCGCGCATAGTCCCGTGTGTCTGCACAGTGACGGGAAGCCCGGACGGCCTCTTGGAAGACCGCTGCAGAAACTAGACAAGCGCGCTCCGCTACTCGCGAAGAAGCTACTCGCAAATAGCCCGGATCCGCCACGGGGGATTCACGACCCATTACGTCAAGACAAAGTCTTGTTCTTGCTCGTCCGTGGACGTCTGCGAGCAGGCACTCTGCGGGCAGTGGAGCGCGCTCGGTGAGAAACACTGGACCTGGGCCAAGATTTGTTGTTACTTCTTTTCATTGTTGTTTTTCTGTTGTTGTTGCTCTTTTTAATGTTTTCTCTCTTTTGTATGTTGGGTTTCTTGTTTACTGTTTGTTACTACTTTGGGGGGGGGGACCTGGGGCCAAGAGGGGAGGACCTGCAGACAACACGCGAGGCCGCGAGGCCGCAGCCACCGTGCGGTCCGCAGCGCGCGGCCGCCGACGGGCACCCCGACCGCGGCGGCGCCGCGGCCCGCGCGAGGCGCCCCCCCACCGCCCCGGGGGCGACGCGCGGCGCGCGGCGCCAGCGGCAGGCAGGGCGAGTGGGGGGATGGGAAGAGCAGGGACGACCCAGAGATCCAGCGCATTGAAAAAATGAAGACGGAAGTGTTTCGCAGTTTTCGGCCTCTAGGGGCCCTCGCCGGGCCCGGGGACCCACAAAAAACGACTCAGGATGAGAAACCGGTCCTGGGGAATGGGTCGAGACTTCCGGGGACCGCGCATTGAAAAAATCACGACATCGGATCTCTGGGGAGCGGGCGACGGAGGATGTTCACAGAGGATGCACACGGAGACGGGGCTGTGGAAGCCAGGCGACGTTGGCCGGCTTCTCGACGAGCCGCAGAGCGTGTTTTGGCACCAGCGTGTGCCTGTCCACCGAGGCCCCTCGCTGCGACGGAGGCGGCGCAGCAAGGGGCGACACAGGCTGCGCGCCATCGGCGGACCCGAACGGGGTAACCACACGCGAGTGCTAAGGCACGTCCTGAGGATCATCGAGCTCCCCTTGTCCCGAGGGCAACTCGGGGCTGGAGCGCTCGGCGGGGGAAGGGGCAGGGCAAGGAGGGCTGATCGACCTGGGCCCAGCCCGGGCTGTGGAGGCTCGGCGATGCTGGCCTGCTTCCCCCCTCCTGCTGGCAGCAGAGCGGCGGGCCCAGACCGAGCAGAAGCCACGCGCACACACACGCACACACACACACACACACGCACACACACACACACACACACATACATACTTGTTACGTCGGCGGCGGCTAGGCAGAGGGTGACTGCGCTGGCCATGACTGGCACACACACACACACACACACACCGGAGGCTCCAGCAGCAGGCAGCCGAGAGCGCCTCGCGCGCGCGAGGAGGTGCTGGAGGGGCAGTCCGCGGGGGGGGGCGGGGGGGGGGGGGGGGCACAGGCGGGCGCCGGCTGCACACGCCTGCGCCGATCCTGGCCAGGCCCATCCTGGGCCCGGGCTCGGAGCCCGACGCCCTCCTGCCTCGGGGGCCGCGGCATCCGCGCAGGTGCCTGGCCCACGACCTCCAAACTCCCTGCACGCGCGCGCTCCGCGCGCGAGGAGGAGGAGGAGGAGGGGGGGGGGAGGAGGAGGAGGAGGAGGAGGAGGGAGGAGGAGGAGGAGGAGGAGGAGGAGAGGAGGGAGGAGGGGAGGAGGAAGGAGGAGGAGGAGAGGAGGAGGAGGAGGAGGAGGAGGAGGGAGGAGGAGGAGGAGGAGGAGGAGGAGGAGGAGGAGGAGGAGGAGGAGGAGGAGCCCCCGCCGCGGGAGAGAGCGGGGCGCACGGGGCCGCCGGCAGGTCCGCGCACGTCTTGTTCGCGTGCCCCACCGCCGGCGGCGCGCCGCAGCTGGAGCCGTCGCGCTCCTTGGCCGTCGCCGCCGCCGTTGCCGCGGCCGCGGCCGCGGCGGCCGCCGCCCGGCCCTGCCGCCCAGCCCGGCCCGGCCCGGCCCGGCGGGGTCTCTCCCAGGACGCGCGGTCGGCGAGCGTCGGGCGGGCCCCCCAATCGCCTCTGGCGGGCCTTGCCGTGCGCTCTGCCTCCAAAGCTTCAGGGTTTGGGGGAAGGCCCAGCGGGGCCCGAGGCCGCCCCGAGAAAATCCCGAGGGCCCCCCCGAATAGGCCCAACATGGCGAGAGACCACCCCAAGACGGCTCCAAGACTGACCGCGGCTGATCCGACCCCAAGGAACCCTCCAGCAGGAAAACGAGAATAAGAAACTCGAATACACGATAATGTTCTTGCTTCCAGTATGGATCCCTTGCGGTCTAATACTTCTGCAGGGCAACGCCAGTGGCTCACAAGACGGCCCCGTAGAAGCCCAAGACCTGCCCACTACCCAAGACAGCTCAAGACGGCCCGAGATGGCCCCTTCGTAAACGACTTGAGGACCCCAAAGACGTCACAAGACTGCCTCAAGAGGACTCGCAGACGGCTCCAAGATCCGTCCAGACGGCCCCAAGCAAGATGCTTCTACCAACGCTCTTCGGGACAACTCGGTGGACCCGTCAAGCCCTGGACAAGCCAACAACACGCAGAGGGCCAGGGAAGGCCGCAAGGAGGCACATCGCAGAAACTGCTGGAACCATGGCGCATCCATGGTAAAGCCATCGTGCATAGATTTCGATGCTACGCCTGCGCCGTGGCAAGGGTGTGCAGCAGCTAGCTGGATATACGTGCCTGTGAAGGGCGTCGGCGGATGCAGCGCGAGCTCGATGGATTATCTGAGTTGGAGGTCAGGACCCTCCTTCCTTCTCATATCTCCTCCCCTCCCCTGCCCCACCTCCCCTCTTCTTCGCATCCTCGTCACCGTCCCTCTCCCTTGTCCTCTCCTCCATCCGAGAGGATCGAAAGCCTTCTAAAGATATAAGCATGGAGGAGAGAACCTCCAGGACGGAGGAAGAAGGCATCTAGAATGGACGACCAATCTCCAATAAGAAGATTTTAAGCCTCCCGAGACATCCAGAGACCGCTGGAACTCTGTGGCAATCTCCACTAACCAGCGATCCCCTCCCTCCCACAGCTGCAAAAACAATTACCATGTGACGTACCCAACCCATTTGTATCAATGGAAACGAAGAGTTGGCCGAAACTTGCATGGACAATCGACTTGATGTGTAAGCTACTTGGGACACGCGCCTATGGCATGATGCGCAGGAGAACCATACAAGAACGAGGGGCGACAACTACAGGCTCGAAGAGGACATGGGGAGTCGGGAACGCAGAGCAGGAGAAAAACGTGCGGGAAGCCGAACCATCAGCACGGCAGCAGCAGAGGGAAGGTGACTGCAGGAGGAGAACAAGGACGAGAGCGGCGTCTAATTTGAGTCTGCGGTGGGTACCCACTGTGCTGTGCCCCTCAGCAGCCCTCGAAAGTGGCGACAGTTTCACAGATCGCAGCCCCCCAGGGATGGCGATGTCTAATTTGAGTCTGCGGTGGGTACCCACTGCGCTGGGCCCCTCAGCAGCCCTCGAATACCCACTGTGCTGGGCCCCCCAGCAGGCCTCGAAAGTGGCGACAGTTTCACAGATCGCAGCCCCCCAGGGATGGCGAGGTCTAATGTGAGTCTGCGGTGGGTACCCACTGTGCTGTGCCCCTCAGCAGCCCTCAAAAGTGGCGACAGTTTCACAGATCGCAGCCCCCCAGGGATGGCGAGGTCTAATTTGAGTCTGCGGTGGGTACCCACTGTGCTGGGCCCCTCAGCATGCCTCGAAAGTGGCGACAGTTTCACAGATCGCAGCCCCCCAGGGATGGCGAGGTCTAATTTGAATCTGCGGTGGGCTGTGCTGGGCCCCCAGCAGGCCTCGAAAGTGGCGACAGTTTCACAGATCGCAGCCCCCCAGGGATGGCGAGGTCTAATTTGAGTCTGCGGTGGGTACCCACTGTGCTGGCCCCCCCAGCAGGCCTCGAAAGTGGCGACAGTTTCACAGATCGCAGCCCCCCAGGGATGGCGAGGTCTAATTTGAGTCTGCGGTGGGTACCCACTGTGCTGGGCCCCCCAGCAGCCTCGAAAGTGGCGACAGTTTCACAGATCGCAGCCCCCCAAGGATGGCGAGGTCTAATCTGAGTCTGCGGTGAGTACCCACTGTGCTGGGCCCTCAGCAGCCCTCGAAAGTGGCGACAGTTTCACAGATCGCAGCCCCCCAGGGATGGCGAGGTCTAATCTGAGTCCGCGGTGGTACCCACTGTGCTGGGCCCCCCAGCAGCCTCGAAAGTGGCGACAGTTTCACAGATCGCAGCCCCCCAGGGATGGCACAGATCGCAGCCCCCCAGCCGGGATGGCGAGGTCATTTGAATCTGCGTACCCACTGTGCTGGGCCCCTCAGCAGCCCTCGAAAGTGGCGACAGTTTCACAGATCGCAGCCCCCCAGGGATGGCGAGGTCTATTTGAATCTGCGGTGTGTGCCCACTGTGCTGGGCCCCCAGCAGCCCTCGAAAGTGGCGACAGTTTCACAGATCGCAGCCCCCCAGGGATGGCGAGGTCCAATTTGGTCTGCGGTGAGTACCCAGTGTGCTGGGCCCCCAGCAGGCCTCGAAAGTGGCGACAGTTTCACAGATCGCAGCCCCCCAGGGATGGCGAGGTCTAATTTGAATCTGCGGTGTGTACCCACTGTGCTGGGCCCCCAGCAGGCCTCGAAAGTGGCGACAGTTTCACAGATCGCAGCCCCCCAGGGATGGCGAGGTCTAATTTGAATCCGCGGTGGGTACCCACTGTGCGGGGCCCCCCAGCAGGCCTCGAAAGTGGCGAAAGTTTCACAGATCGCAGCCCCCCAGGGATGGCGAGGTCAAATTTGAATATGCCGGTGTACCTCACTGGTGGGACCCCCAGCAGGACTCGAAAAGTGCATTGTTCTCCCTCTCAAACCAAGGCCACCAGCTGCTGGCGGAGGGCTATTTGAATAGAAGGCGTCGTCGTCACTGTGCTGTGCCACCCAGCAGGCCTCGAAAGTGGCGACAGTTTCACAGAATCACAGCCCCCCAGGGATGGCGAGGTCAACGACAGGGGAGGAAGAGCAGGGCCGGGTGGGGGTGGGAAGGAAGGAGACGCGCGAGCAGTGCTGTATTCAAAACGAGAACCCAACGCAGGAGGGTTGGGAAAAACAACCCTTTTAAGACTGATCGCTCTTACCTGCTCACGTGCCATTCAAAACGTGTATCCCGAACCCTCGGTGCCCGCCCTCCTCGTCTCCCATCGTACCCCCTTCGGATTATATCTTCCTTACCTGTCCCTCCCTCTCTCCCTCCCTCCCTCTCTCCCTCCATCCCTCCTCTCCCTCCCTCTCCCTTCCTCTCCCTCCCTCCCTCCCTCCCTCCCTCACCACCTACCTGTTACTCCCTCTCCCTCCCTCTCCCTCCCTCCCTCTCCCTCCCTCCCTCCCTCCCTCCCCTCCCTCGGGGGTAGCAGCAGAGATCTGCCCTCCACTGGGCCTCCGCGTGCCCGACCTCTCGTCCCTCTCCCTCCCTCCCTCCCCCGGTAAGAACCGCACGCTGAGTCATATCAGCCGCACGCCGCACGATCCGGAAGGTTCTCCTGACGGCCCGGGAGTGCTGCAAGACGTTGCGCAGAAGGGCCCAGACGCATGAAAATTCACATTCCGGGTCCTCAAGATGGCCTCAAGACAGCCCCCAGAGGGGCCAAGAGGGCCCCAAGGGAGTCTCCAAGGGAGCCTCTGGCTCAAAAAATTGTACGTTCTCCATTGGTTTTTGATGCATTGTGGTGTTTTCCTTTTTTCCAAATCCCTACGCTCCACGACGGCCCAAGAAACTCCAGGGATCGCTCGGACGGCCCAGCAGGCCCCCAACATAGTCCAAATACGGCCCAAGAGGGCCCCCAGACTGCCCAAAACACCACTCAAACGGCCCAAGAAGGGGGAGCACGAACCGACATTTCGAGCCTTCCGTCCCAAGATGGCCCCAAGAGCTTCCCTGAGGCCTCCAAGGCCTCCCCAAGAGGCCCCAGACCTGTCCAGCCTTCTGTCCCAAGATGGCCCCCAGAGGTTCCAAGGCCTCCCCAAGAGGCCCCCAGACGTGCCCAACAAGGCGCCCCGAAGGCCCCCAAGAGGCCCCGAGAGCTTCCAAGAAGCCCCAAAGGGGGCATCCCAAGACACCCTCAGATACAACGTCGAAGAGGCCCTCCAGGAGGCCAATTATGGCCCCACGACGCCTTCGACGAGAACTGCATACACGTCCGTCCACCACGGCTTCAACGAGGGCTGGATACACATGCGTCCCAATATGCCTTTGACATGCTTCCTTGACGTGGTTCGATTCTGCTGAGGGCTCGCCCACTCATCCGAAATCGGAGCTACGATGCACTACACTTCTGAATCAATCGCTGAGGGCAGTTCCTGCGGCTGTTTTGTCCCCCGCTCTCTCTCCCCAGCACCCTCCATCCTCTATTATTTTGGCCCCCCTCCATCTTCAATCAAGCTTGCTCCAGATGTTCATCTTTCCATATGTTTTCAATTTCTTCATAATCTTCGGCGTGCCCGCCGGTCCGTGGGCCACACAGTGGGGCAGCAATATGAAGGGATGCTCTCAGGAGGAGGAGGACAAGGAGGACATGAGATCACAGGAGGAGGAGGATCGGAAGCACTGAGAGGACGAAGGGTAGAAAATCCGCCGACCCTGTCGGCGTGTGCGAGGGGCTTGGCTGTTCGAGTCGTCGTCTCCGTCGGTCGTCGCCTCCGTCGTCCCCTTTCCCTGCAGCTTCCTTCTCAAGCTCGTGAGCGAGAGAAAAATCTAGCAGTGTCGTAATCGAGTCGAAGGGAAGCCCCTTCCCTTTGATCCCTTCCCCAGGGGGGGGGGAGGGGTCCCGGGGGGGGTCCCGGGGGGGATGGGGGGGCAGATTCGTTTTCCTCGGGCGGCC